AATTTAAGTAAGCAATTCTAAACACAATTAAGATCTTTCACATAAAAAAAATAACTTATTAATATAAATTAATATACCAAAAGAATAAAAATATACTTAGACAATCACGGTGAAATATACTGCAATGACAAACTTACTCGGAAATATCCTTGATGATGGGGACTAACTTTTTGATGCTGGATAACATCTAATTGTTTTCAATTCTCATATCAAGCGGTTTGACGATAATTTTAACTAATAATGTTCAAAAGAATTGATGACGTGGAATGGGCCGTCAACCTGTTCTACTAACAACAGGGAACTCGTTTACATTTTTTTGACATAATCAAAAAGTTTACCATCTTAACTAAAAAATGGTTAGCCGATTAGAAAAAATATCTAATTTAATAAATGTTATAAGCGTAACCCAATTTAAATTTATCGACTTATTAAACCAAAATGTTCATTAAAAAATAGACTCTAATGCGTAATATGTCATAATTTTCTTAAGAGAATTTTATTGTTTTATATTTACTGAAGAGGCTGAGGTAACAGCCGAAACGTTTTATTATTTTTATTATCATGTATCTACTAAGAAATAAATCAATTATGTGTTGACATTACATCTTCACTAATTTAATATGCTCGTTATAGTTGGCCCTGTCTTTCTAAATCTTATTTTTATAATATCACACGAGCCTTGTCTTTAAATATCTAATTGTTTTCCTTATTAAATTTAAATAATTTATGTTTTCGAATTTTGCTCGCGGAGAGATTTTTAAAACAAGATTTTTAGAAGAGAGGACCTTTAAAATATAAACAGGCAAAAAACGTTGGAAAAATAAAGCGCGCGTTAAACAGATAAACGCAATGAAATAAATCGCAATTGTTTTTACTTATCGCTGTAAGCTCACAAGCTTCTGACGTGCTATACACTTTTATATAATATATACAAGGTGTCCGGTAACTAACGGACCAATGATTAAGGGCGGATTCTCTGGCTAATTTGGAGACGATTTTTCCTTAGCAAAAATGTTGAGAAGTCAATAATTTTCGAGTTATAAGCGATTGAAAAAAATAGGTTTTTCGAAAACTAAACGTTTTGGAGTTAAAAGTCTAACATAATTACATTCTTCAGTTAATTTCAGGTAGAGTTTACTATAATAAAATTTTAATTTAAGGCTTAGTTATAAGATACATAATGACAAAGATTGGAAAGTGTAAAAAAATGATGACCTTTTTCGACATTTTGCTGAGGAAAAATCGTTCCCAAATTGACCAAAGAATCCATTGTAATCATTGGTCTGTTAGTTACCGGACACCCTGTATATTGGACACGAGTTTCGTTTGTTCAGATTCTCGAGAGTTGAAGTAGGAACATACGAGTATCATATATCGTTTGTGACTTGCCGAATGAAAGCAAGACAGAGAGCGAACGAGATGATGAGCTAATAGCTCATAAGTTATAAATAAATAAATAAAAAAATTTATAACTGACCTACTAAGTATTGATCCTTTTTTAATAAAATGTTTATATTATTATCATCTAGTCTAAGTCGTTTAATTACTTTTTAGTTTTTTAATATTAATTAATTTATTCTAGTCATTTTTATATGAGAAAAATAATATCACGTATACGTTTATAATGAATTAATATATTTCGGGAACCAAATTATATATTCTTAATATATAAAGTGTTCAAAAATTATATTTAACTTTTAATTTTAATTAATTTTATAGCAAAGAGTTTTCGAAATCTCTACACAATAATGGGGATTTTTTTCATCCATATAATTCGCAATTAAGTATATGTTAATTATTAATTTTAATAAAATAAAAAGTAAAATTAAAGGTCAAATTATAATTTTTAACACAATAATTAAATTAATTATAAAAACGTATACCTATGATAGTATTTTCTCGTACAAAAATAATTAGAGTAAATAAATTAATCATAAAAGATTAAAATTAATTTAAAGAATTTAAACTTATTTTATATAATAAAATAAAAACATTTTATTACGTCAAACCGTCGTGTGAATAATTAAATAAAATTTGCTTAGTAAAAAAAAAGTTACGTCAAAGTCAAGTCTAAGCTTATAAAACATTTTATTAAAAAACAGATTCAATAAATATAAGTACATGTTATATATATACTTATATTTATGGAATCTGTTTTTTTTATAAAATGTTTTATTATTATCATATATAATATAAATTATTTAATTATTTTTTGTATTTTTTTATGAGTAATTAATTTGTTCTAGTTATTTTTGTACGAGAAAAATACTATCACGCGGGTATACGTTTTATAACGAATTAAATATATTTATGTTCAAAATTATATTTGACCTTTAATTTTAATTTGTATTTTATTAAAATTAATAATTAACATATATACTTAATTGCAAAATTATATGGATGAACAAAACTCTATTATGTGTGTAAGAGATTTCGGAACTCTTGCTAAATAATTAAAATTAAAAGTCAAATATAATTTTTGAACACTTTTATATTATTAAAATATATAATTCGATCTCGAAATATATTAATTCATTATAAACGTATACGTATTAGTATTTTCACTATTAAAATGATTAGAATAAATTAAATTAATATTAAAAAACTAAAAATTAATTTTAAACGACTTAGACTAGATGATAAATAATGAAACATTTATTAAAAAATAATTATAATAGGTCAGGTTAATATTTTATTTATTTATTTATTTATTTATTTATAACATCATAAAATTCTGTCCTTTCCGAAATACGCGAACGCTACGAAAGATAAATCTCGTACATGCCGCCGGACGAGTCATGAGCATGAGACGCTCTTATCTGGGAACGTATTAATAGTTACTGCATTGACCACTACTACGAATGGCGCTGAAATCAGTGAGAAATGCTGGTCTCTCCTTCATCCAGACCTTTGGCGATCTGTCTATAATCTGTGACATATATAATACGTGAGACACACGTGCGTACATATGTATGTACCTCGTGGTGTGTAAAGTGGCTCTTTATTAAATTCACGTGTCTCGCGACCGGTCCCCGCTGGCCGCATCGCATAAAGAGCCAGCTGTCAAACTCCGTCAAAGGAGAGAGACGGCTGGACGAGGAGGAGCTCAGGTAATGGCGTGTCGCATGGCGAGCATCCTTCCGGCGAGCGTTCTTCCGGTCGAGAGCAAGAGCAGCCACAGCCAGTGGCTGAACGCTCAAGGCAGCAGCTGAGAGAGAAACGTCATCACCATATTGCGTAAGGTCGACGGACGACCGGCCCGGCGAAGATGTTCGCATGCGGTTGAGAACCATTGGCCGACTGCCCACCAGACTCACGCACGCGAATCGGTTCTATCAATCTGTAAAAATATATCGGTACGTATCGACGCGGATTGTATCAATGGCTTCTGCCAGCTCTTTCCTCGATCAGCGGCTTTTGAAAAAGCGATCCCGTCTTTCCCGCCCACTTTGTGATTTACGCTCTCTGACGGGAGAATTTTGTCTATTTTCCGGTATTTTGTTTATGTCATACTTGTAAATTTGTGTACACTCTAATTATATATCCGGATTTAGGATTGTTTACAATTTGCACGGCGTGTCTATTTTCAAGCGATATAACCTAAAAAAGTATGCTTGCTCTTGTAGATTAATTTGTATCGCATTTTTTCATGTATACTTTACAGATTTTTAAAAAATAATGAATAAGAGCACAATACTACATTTTATGAATTATATTTTTTACCATCTTTAATTTATTTTTCTGATATAAATAACATTTTTTTATAAGAAATATTTCTCATAATTTTTCATAGTATTAATTGATTAATATTCTCTTAATCAGTTTACTAAATATATATATATATTTTTAGGGTTGTAAATATTAGTAACTTACGCTATAGCAGCGATGCGAGCAATAAAAAATCTCAAAAGCCACGAGGTACCACTATCAAACCGGAGGAATGTATACCTGAATCTAGATATTCCAAGTCACAAAAAGTTGTTCCTCCTTGCGAAACAGGACCTAATGCATCTTGTCCAACAAAGCAAGAATGCAAGTTGAATGGAGATCAGAAACAACCAAATGATAAAGGCTCAGATTTGGGAAAAATGGAAAATATCAATTTCGCTATTGGCATCTACTTGTGCTTTGCTTGTAACAGGAGTTGCAGCATACAAGGTAGTACATCACAAAAAATTTTAAATAATTAATATAAGGATATAGTTTAATTAATCTTATTTTACTATACAATTTTTTTAAATGTTATGTTTAATATTTTTTAATATATATTTAATAGATATCCTCATCATCTTGGTGGAAAGATGAAAAAGCAAGTCAAAAAGGCAAAAGTAAACGTAAGTTAACTTAAAAATTATTTTTATTTTTATTATAATATAAATATCAAATTTATTATCTATATATATTATTTATTTAATAGAAAAAAAAAGAAGGAAGGAGATTTAGAGAAAAAGTAAAAGTTCCAGCAGAATCCAAATTGATACCTCAAGAAGTAACTTACTTACTGATAGGTGGAGGAACAGCTGCATTTTCAGCATTTAGAGCAATTAAATCTAGAGATCCCAAAGCTAAGGTATATTACGTAATACAAAATTAAATTTTTTTTCTTTCAATTTAAATAAATAAGAATTTTTGTTCAGGTTTTAGTTTAGCAGAAGAAGAAGACGAATTTCCATACATGAGGCCACCCTTGTCCAAAGAACTTTGGTATAACACAGATAAAGAAACAACTGCACAATTACGTTTTAATCAATGGAATGGAACTCAAAGAAGGTAAACTTTTCTAGATTTAACCATATGATTTTTCAGCAATATTATTAATACAATTATATTTCTTTTCGTATTTATACAGAATTTTTACATTTATTTCATAGTATATTTTACGAACCACGGGAGTTCTATTCAAGTGTTACCCATCTCACGGAATCTGACAAGGGGGGAGTTGCTGTAGCCATGGGTTGGAAAGTAACAAAAATCGATGCTGTAAATAAAACTGTGGTTCTCGAAGATGGTCAGGAAATAAAATACAACAAGTGTCTCATTGCCACTGGTAAATTTTTAGTGACAATTGAAATCTCAATTTAAAATTGAATTTTTCATATGTAAATATATTTTTTTACAGGTACATCGCCGAAGAATCTGCCAATATTTGAATCTGTTGAAGACGAGATAAAAGACAAGATTATAACATTTAGAACAAAGAATGATTTTCTCGATTTGGAAAAAAAGTGTCTCTAATTCTAAATGCAAAAATATTGTGATTATGGTGGAGGATTTCTCGGTTCAGAACTCGCTTGCGCGCTTGCTAAAAGTCGTATGTTTTTTAATTATTAACAGAATAATCAATATATTTTAAAAAATATTTATTAATTACAAAAGTATATTTTTATTATAGATAAATCGAAAAATGTTTACCAAAATTATAAAGAGAAGTTTATAATGGCACAAGTATTACCAGAATATTTAAGTGAATGGACTACGAAAAAAGCCGAGCAGAAGGTGTTCATTCTCTATCTAATACACAAGTTGAAGATTATAGATACAAAAATGGTCGATTGTCTCTCATTCTCACTGGTGGTCGGACTGTATGTTAATATGTTAAAAATTTACGTATTTTTGATTAATCAAGTATCCTTATTTACTAATTTTATCTACTTTTTAATTTCTTTTTAACAAAAAGATTGATGCTGATCAAGTGATAGTAGCGATAGGTGTTCAAACCAAATACAGATTTGGCAATAACCTCGCATTTAGAAACAGAACCTAAGATAGGAGGATTCCTTGTTAATGCTGAATTAGAAGCGAGAAGCAATCTTTGGGTTGCTGGTGATGCAGCATGTTTCTATGATATCAAACTTGGTAGAAGAAGAGTCGAACATCATGATCATGCTGTCACTTCTGGAAGATTAGCTGGCGAAAATATGACTGGTGCAGGTAATGCTGCAAATCCGAAAATATTTCAAAATATTAAAGTACAAAAATCAAATGTGAAAACATAAATGGATTTCTTTCTAGGTAAACCTTATTTGCACCAATCGATGTTTTGGTCAGATTTAGGACCAGATGTAGGATATGAAGCGATAGGTATTGTAGACTCATCTTTGCCAACTGTTGGAGTCTTTGCGAAAGCGACGGAAGCAAATGCGATTAATGATTCTAGTGAAGTAAGTAGTTCTTGTAATAGTGTAATTTATATCTTGTAAGGCATAACATACTTTTTACTGTTTACTTTTATTTCGTTTTTCTTTTCAGAACAAGGAACAAAAGAAAAATTCAAAGGAATCACAATCTAATGCTCAATCAAAGTCATCAGTGACACAAATCACGAAGAATGTTGATAATATAAATCCAGAAGAAGAAGAAAAAGATATATCTGGAGATAATAAATCAGTGCAGGAACCTAAGAACGAAAATTTTGAGAAAGTGTTGTTTTCTATCTACGAGATGATGTTGTAGTAGGAATAGTGCTGTGGAATATCTTTAACCGAATGTCTATTGCCAGACGAGTAAGTCTTTCTGTATCTTTATTATAATTTATTGTAATATTTCTGATTTTTATTTGGAGATATAAATTTTATCCATAATTTTTAGGTTCTTGCAGGAGATACAAAATATGACGATTTAAATGAAGTAGCGAAATTATTTACGATTCACGAAGATTAATTATTTGATTAACAAGAATGAGTGACAATATAGTAGGAGATTTTATAAATGTAAAAGATGCCCGAATTCCAGTCTGAGATATATTATTGGAAAACTTGCAAACTTGGAGAGCTCGCTGAATTTCGCAGGTATGCGAATTATAAGTGACAGTGCTATTTTATGTGTATATTTGTACACGAAGATTTCTAAATGTAGTATATACACAAAACGTTTCCATATACGTACAAAATGTACGTTTCATTAGCTAATGCTAACTGAAAGCACACTTATACACATGAAAAATAAAAGAATAATTTTATTAATTATATATAATGCAACATCAGTTGTTATTTGCTATATAAATATATCTACTGATATATAATTTTTCAACATAAAAAGTATATAAAATATTTTCCTTTACAGGATAAAGTTTGCTGTTTTATATGTATCGTTAATATACATACATATTTTTCTTTTTTATTATTTTTAAGATACAAGCTAATAAGATACATTATATACAATTATAATTCATCTTCTGAATTCAGATTTTTAGTCATTGCCGGTAAAACTCGATTTCTATATCGTTGCCCCAAATTATCCATGTACGAAATGTAGTTATGACAACGATATTCGTCGAACATCTGTGTATGAAGATGCATTTAGTACAAGTTGTTTTATGATATATTAAATGTAAATAAGTCTATAACTTGATATATTTCATACACGTACCATATTTTCCGGCCCACATCTTTTTACTCGTAAAATTCTCCAACAAAGTCTCTTCGCAGTATTGCAAAAGTGATATGCAATAATACACCATATAATCGGAAGGGTACAAGATGCAAATTGCAAAAAAGTGAACTATTTCACTCCATGGAAGAATTCCCCAGAAACATTGCGTTATCATTCTATTGGCTATCATCCACCAGTTCAGACCACAAACATCCTTATCGTTTAAAAATTAGAATATTATAATTTTTTTAGATGATTAAATTTGTTAAATGTGATAATAATTGAAAATAATTCAATCACCTTTAATCCATATTTAATATGTGGAAGCTCGATATCAACCATGGTTTCTAAAACTTGCATAAAAGTGAATTGCGAACTAGTATTCTCATTATTCTTTTCGTCAATAACTCTGCCTAATTTTGGCCAAAGGAGCAATGTCGATGGAAATTGAATTAATTGCATAATAAATGTCTTGCACCTGTAATATATAAATTATTGTTAGTGTACTAGTCAAGAGATATAAGTAAGGGATTAGACAATTGAATGAAATGGCTCAGTGACAGAATGTTTATTTGATATATAAAAGAACCCAGGTTCAAGTCCTTAGAAATCTTGATATTTTCCTTAAAAATAAAAATTTATACTATTATCGTATTATATGGTAATAGGTCGATGACGAAAAATAAACATTCGAGAGTCAATGACCATGGAATCATTGACTCGGTGAATATCAAGTTTTCAATCTGAGACCTGCCAATGATGATATATGACTAGCTTGAGTTAATCATGTTGACAGTTTAGAAAGTCTTGTTCGATCGTCTATAATTCTTCGTAATTAATATGTTACAGGAGATTATCGATTGAATGAAAATGTGCTACTAGACCATATGGGAAATTAAAAGCTGTCAAATGATTAATTCGCGGTCATCTGAGGCTTAAATTTTTTATTAATTATTTTTAATTTTTAATTAATAATTATAGTTCATTAATAGTTAATATTTTTTCTTTGATGAAAAATGAATTATTAAGTGAATGTATTACATACTTGTCTAAATCTCCATCACAAATAATAAACACTGTTGCCAAGAACCAGTCGAAACCTTCGAATCTGTTCGGTTTATTGTACTGTATAAATATGTAAGCAGAATGAATGAATTGTTTTAAATTTTTCTGATTATCGTCAGTATTTTTTAAAATCTGCCGTTGTTCAGCATAATTCAAAGCAAGATTAATCGCGTGTGTATCTTCCGGAAGCCAATAGTCTGCATCATATGTTATATTTTCTTGCCATTCAAACTGTTCTACCCATTCCGCAGTTGGGATAGCTTTGTGCATTTGGTTCAATAAATTCGTCATTGCTGAATTCTAAAACAAAAATGATTTTTTCCTATTTAAATCCTTTCCTATCAATTCGTAATTAAATTGCCTACTTCAAATTTTAATGTTATTGTACTTTAAATTTTTATTTTATTTGCGTAAAATTACCTTCATCGGACATCGCGAGGCTTTATGAGCCGCTCTAACTTGCGATACCCAACCAATATCTAACAATCCGGGCCTCTCCTCCTGCAGCATGTCATTTAGTTCTGAATCACATTCCGCAACTGGAAACTCTATCATATCTGCGTATATCGTGGGAGGTGGAAATTCCGAAAATAGTTCATATTCGTCCAATGGTACTGTATGTTGCTTCCTATTATATGTCGTGTAGTACGATTTCAGTAAAATATTATGTCGCAAAATGCTAGAATCATCAATTATATATTCTTTTGTCGTTTCTGGCTTATCAACATCAATATCTTCATTCTCTATCATAGTTTGCTCGTAATCAGTTTCTTCGTCGGTTTGCTCATTGCGAATTTCAATTATTATTGTGCTCTCCTTCTGAATATTTAACAATGCTACCTAAAACAGTATTTATTATCCACACATACATATATATATATATATATATATATATATATATATATATATAAATTTTTATACGTAAAATATATTACCTGAAAGTTTAACGAGTTTATTAAGTAGACACAAATGTCTATGTTCCAAATCACTACATTCAACGACAAAAGACCTAAATAATGATAACGTGAATTCTCATTTAATACAGCTTGCAGTAATTCAGACAAATTTGAAGGATAATCCTTTTCTTCATTGTTATCTAATTCACTGTCATTCATCATAAACGCGGCAAAACCTGTTTCATTATAAAACCACATGTTAAAAATAAATATACAAGGCATATTGCAGAGTGGCTTTTGAATTATTTACAGTTAAAATTGAGGGAAAACAATGCAAGAATATGTAAAAATTCATTGATGTTTTCTTTGTCCCATGGATCATAAAAGCATGTGGGATCTTCCGCGTTTGCGCAAGTTTGCGACAGTAAAGTCGATAGAACGTGGGGTCCGAGATCAGCGAGCACGTTGTAGCCTAAATCGAAATAACCAGCGGACGAGACGAAGCTGACTATGTCGGTGGAGCTCCAGGTCGCTCTTAGAGGAACGATTAATCCACGAATAAGTTCTTCGAACACCAGTTTCTCATTGACGAGCGCTTGCAAGCCGAGCGGTATCGATACTATTTTTAATAAAACCTTTTTAACAGCACTAGAATATATTTTTATAAGCAATTTAAATTAATTTATAAATTTAGAGATCTATATAAATTTTTCTTCTTTTCATTACCTATCAAATTGCTGAATTTTATTCTCGTTCTCGACACTCCATTTGTTTAATTTCTTATAAAAGCTAGCAACAGCTGGATAAAATTGCGTTTCTATCTGCTCCTGCGCGGCTTCGTAAACATCATAAATAACATCGAATAATTTCTCTAATAAACTAAATGAGCTAAGAATACATTCTGTACTCATTATGGAAAAGGGTTGTTTTATTAAATTCGAGGCATACTGTATCACAACTGTAACTGGGCATTTTGATGGCGCGTTTTCAGAACTTGCAGAGTGATCTTTGCAATGCTTAATCAAGAATACTGATCCGTCGATCGTATCCGCCATATGAGAGATAATGTTCAATGTATGCGGCCAAATTTTTATATCGTTTGCAGGAACAGACGTCAAGTGGCATAATGCGACGTGATAAAATTCAGCATTGTACAATATTACTGATATATTGAGAACATTTTGCAAAGCACTACAGGAGGTATCGTATACCCCACTTGACGCTTCCTTTGCTAATTTATTTAAGGATTTTAACAGTTCTATTAAGAAATCAGCGATGTCGAACGGCGTCTTCAACAAATTCTCCGTGAACAATGTTCTGCTCGCCTCATAGCTGCAAAGCTGCGAGACGAAAACCAAACAATGCAGATAGGTTGCAGTTTCTATCGTATTCCCGGAGATACGCAGGTCATTGCTCTCATCCGTGATAGATGCGGACAGGGAACAGGGTGTTTCTTTCAGGCCATGATTGACGCATTCGACAACGTTCTGCAGAAACGTTGGGGACTTGGCCAAAGCGGTGACGAAAATTTTCCTCATGGAAAAGCTATGAAGCCATCGCTTGCTCCATTTGGCCTGCGGCTCCAGTATCGAGATTATATTCAGCACATTTAAGGTTTTAGGTTGCAATTCATTGCCAAAGCTGTGCGTACTGAGAAATAGTATAAATTGCTCGATGATTTCTTCTATAGTCTTGTCGCTGTGCCTAGTATTCTTCAACATCTGTTTTTGATAATGAATTATCAGATACATTATGCAGAACAATTTCTCGTGCAGGAAGAACTTGAAATTAATTCCGGAAATTAGAGTAGGCAGAGTCTCGCGCATCTTCTGCGAATGATATTGTGTGTCGAACGCATTCAATAGATTGCCATAGATACTATGCAATTGCGGATAATTCAGCAACTTAGCGTGTACCTGCATGCTAGCTTCAAATATGGCTCTGCTATCATCCGTGAGACCATCCAACAACGTCTTCTGGAGAACGTCCCAGTGCGAACTGTTATTTACATTGGATAATTCAATTTTTAATAATATTTCGTAGCCGGCCAGTCTCACATGAACCAGTTTATCGCGACTAATTCTATCAATGATACAACTATATTCTTCACCGTTTTCTTGCGGAGAAGCCCAATCATCCGCTGTGAGATCACTGGTAAAAGAAAGTGATGATTGCGATCGCGATGCAGCTGATGAAGGTTTTATCGCTATATATTGCTCATCAATTACCTTCTTCATAGAACTCAATAGAGTAGCCATGTCTTTCGAACGTGTGAGCTTATAAGCGATATCGCCAGGTTCCTGCTCCTTATCTATAGCGCTTTGTATGGTTTTCCCAAATTCCTTTTTTAAGCATTTCCTTAGCCATTTCTGAAGATCCGGTGGCACATTCTTTTCCATATTTATTTATCTAAACACTAATGTTGTGTAAGTAAAATTAAGCAAGTGCAAGGAAACGCACGGTGTCTAGCTTCCATAGTTTTGACATTTGTTGTCATAGCAACCAGACATATACGTGACAGTACGTGAAAGATATATATCACACTACACTATATACGGTAAATGTAAACTATTTTATAACAAAATTATACAGCTTGTACATATATGTTTTATAGAGCATATAATATCAATTATATTGTATTGAGAAATAAATCTGAGTATTTTATACACAGTAATGTAATTACGTAATTCAGTTAACGTGCTGCAGGTACTATGATGTTCGGAGATTTGGATCGTAATGCATTAATTCCGCCTTGCAGAGAGCAAACTCCTACGACGTTGCACTTTACTAAAAAATCTGCAAACTGTTACAGAGAATATGTTACAAAATAAATTTCTTTTCATAATTCCTTCTTATAAGATTACTTACCAGCGCGTTATTTTGATCGTGCGGTCCAATAATTACAACAACGCTATTTTTATTATCCATCAACGGTTTTGCGTGCGGTCCAAGTGTCTCGATTTGAGTTTGAGACAACTGCACACTCGTAAATGGAATATTAATGCTACTCAGAATAGCACCTCTTTCAAACCTGTTAAAAATGATCAATGTTAAAAAAAAGATGATAATAATCCTTAATTAATAGAATTGTTATTAACCCCTACAAATACTCACTGTATATTGCTACGTACGTCGACTGCTATAATTTTACTCGGCGAATTGTTGTAGAGATTTAGAAAATCGTCTACACTTATCCTCGGCATTTTTTCAGTTCCCGTTTCAGGTTCGATCCAATTTGCATCCTGTAAATCCAATCGGTAATATGTAGAAAATTAAAATAATAAGATATAGTAAAGATTAGTAAGATTGTTACTATACCTTTGCTGTATTATATTGATGTTTTCTATATGTGATGCTGGCGGGTGTATTTTGATACATCGTCATAGAATCTTTAACGCACAGTTCTATATCAATCTCTGGCAGATCAGAGAACAGAAGAATGCATTCATTAAAACCTGACATTAATAAGGAGTCTCTCAATTGCTTCAATATCGCAAGTCCAACCAAAAGAGGAAATGACGAGTCGCCCAGTAATAGTTTATCCCACAGATGTAATATTTTATGCAGTGGAAATACATCTGAAATATTAATAATCTTTAGTATTGACAATTAATAGAGTGCGAAAGGATCGTAAAAACAGCGAAACTTACGTGAAAACATTGTTAGGAACCACGGTATCGCAAAGAGTTCTGGTACAAAATTTATGGATTTTAGATGATTCGCCAACTGGGGATCGTGGAATGCAATAATTTGCGAAAACTTGCCTAAATATTCCTGTATCACTGCCGAGTTGTCTTTTAAAAAGAATTTATGAAGATATTTCGGTATAAAGGCAGAAAGACACGCGAATGCTCGGGCTAAAATTTAAATTAACATTCACATATTATATAATATATAAATATATACATATAATATATAATATTAATAATATACAAATTAAACAACTATAATGCGTATCGAATAATTATACCTTCGTTATTAAAATTTAAATAAAGAAAAGGCGCAGTCAGCGAATCGAGTCCTTGCCAATAAACATAATGCGCATTATTTCTGACCCATGCCTTTAATAATCTCTGTAATCGTTCGTGTCCAGCACCAGACGACAGTAATTCGCTATACTGATGACATCTTGGTATGTCCACCTCTATCTGACAAATTATCAGTGAGATGCATTTATATAATCGAGTAGCGTTTTTTTTTAAATATACAGCAGTCGTACCTGCCGATCAGTGTGAGTGGGTGTCTCCTTGTCGATCATATCGTAACGCTTCTTTATGTTACCGGTGATACCGAGCAAAGCCGCCCATACCGCACCTCTTACTGGAGGTGGTATATCCTTGTGTGCCTCCTCGATAATTGCCTCCTGAGTAAGTGGATACGCCTGCAAGAGTCTATCAAATAAGACCATCCTGTAAAACTGGTATTCCGTGTCGCGTTCTCTTATAATTAATGGCAACTGAGATGCAGCATTCGTCAAGTCTTCCTGTGCCTGAACTCGCATTCTGCAATATAATGTATTTGTAATAATTCTATAACATTAAAATAAGTATAGGATTGAATGAAGACGAATCTATATACTGACTGATTTGTCAACCAAGGATAATTTGCTATATACGGAATATGAGCTAAACGCTGGCGAAGAGTCTCCATAGGAACCTTCACGATCCTTGTATCGAGTAGGCTGGCGGTATCCCTTTGGCCAAACATTTGGCCTAGTAATATGACTAAGCTAAAAAAGAAAATTTAATATTGAATATTTAATCCTATTTGAATTAATATTTCAATAATTATCTAAATATATTATTATCTACATATATATATATATATATATATATATATAATTACTTTGGAATAGATAAAATAGGTGGTCTTGATCTAATGAGACCTTGTTTTTTTAATTCCATAGTAATATCTCCACCAGCCAACTGCCACAAATAATACAACTCGTCCATTTTTCTAATAATAACATTTTTATAAAGATTTTCTTCTTTTTCCTGTGCATTTTTCATTAAATAATCTACAAATATAGGTAATTCTAACAATTCTGCTGGAGTTTTACGTTTAATAGGATGAATTTGTAAACACGAATCTACAAATTCCTTTAACTCTTTTGACAACTTCTATAAAGAAATATGTAATATTAAATTATAATTATACTATAATATTATCAGAAAATGAAGAAATCCATACTTCATAAATGTGGAAACAATTGTTTTCCCTGGCAAGACGTTCGAATATGCTGGTATCACATAATATTAAACTCAAAACTTTTCTTAAACATTGAGATAATTTCACACCAGACCAAATGGATTGTCCCAACAACTGTTCCGCTATAATCATTCCTAGTGACCATGAATCTACCTTAGCACCACTTAGACTAGGATTTAGGAATACTTCTGGTGCTGTATATTTTGGAGATCTAATAAAAAGAATATTATTTGAAATTGTTTATCAAACAGATAAATTTACAAAGTTATATTGATAAAAAAGAATATTTTAAAATACCCAATTGGAAAGGAGACATTCTTTCCACCATCTGTCATATAATATAATCCATAATTATATAGCTGGACATCATTATTTCCCTTAATCAGAATATTATCCGGACTTAAATGTCTATGTACCAGATCTAATTCATTCATGTGTTTTAGTGCCAAGAGACATTGAAAGGCTATCTTGATAATTTCTTCTGTACGTAGATCATGTTTGGTGCTTAATGGGTCTCCGCTGTACTCTGAGACAACCAGTACTCTTTCTGTAAATACAAAAAAAATTATACATATATACAGTATGTATAAATAAATAATAAATATATAAAATTGTGTTACATTGAGACTAACCATGCTTGCTTCTAATTATATCCAGATAGGGTGAGAGATGAGGATGATAAATGGTCTTCAGAAATTGTGACTTCCCATAAATAGTTATGGAATTTGGTGTGAGTGGTAGACCATTGCTGCCGCAAACTTCTACTGGGTGACTTTGTGCAAAGAAAGTCATGCCTCCCAAGCATCGCTCTTCATTTTCCAAAAGTGCAGGGCACATGTTTGTATAATTATACATAAAATTCTCAATTATTTGTGCCAATTCCACTGTTCTAGCTCCGTTGTTTTGTCACTCATAATTAATGCAAAGAGAATTTCATACATCCTTTATGACATAGGTGGAAGATCCGCCTCCTCTGCTCATCGTTTACAGCTGTCACTCGACGAAATAATATACATATATACATATATATATCAACATAATTGGCAACGACATCGGTATGTCAGAAATTAATTATATTAGAGTATGATAACAATGCCAGGTCTCATATGATAATATACCAACAAAAATGATAAGATGCAAATTCAAGATAGAGACTGAATGTCGCTAGTATAGGATTTCTATTCTGACAGAAGCAAAAGCTTCAGTCAACGATTTACGTCAATTTACGTCAAATACGTCAAATACGTCAAATACGTCAAATACGTCAAGATTTGAAGAAAAGGAAAGAAGAATAGTACTTCCTTCTCTCTTGCTGAATCTCGATTACTTTTAATCATCCTCGATGAATCCAAATTAACGTAAATATATTCTCTAAATATAGTCATGTTTTGTGATGTGCATCCTTTTAGCACAATTGCACAGTTTCTACTTTTTCTGCAACTCTCACAATCCCTATTAATATTAATCATTATTTTCTAATTATTCTTATTTTAATTTCTACATTTATTATTATTATAATTTATTGTACATTTGAGTTAATTACTTTTGAATCAAACAATCAACTCAAGTAACATTTACATATGTCAAAAATAATACAAAAATATTACGATTAAAAATATTATGCATTGTTTTGCTCCAAAAAATTGACGTACTAAGAAAAATAAATGTATAATAAAATTATTGTTATTACACTAGTAGTTATTAAATTTAAGAGTTCAAAATGATATCTAGAACTTCGTTGATAAATATGTATATATTGATTAAAACTCTGTTGTTACAGAATTTCATCCTCAGAGTATTTTACCGGGACATTTATAATGTCTTCGGTCCAGCGTGCATTTGCTCACAAATTAAACAAACAACATGCTGCTGATGTGAGACGGCAGATTGCTACTTCTACTTCCTATTCACGTGATTTGTCAAAAAGTGGCAGCAGTGTATCAGGATTTTCTTCCACGGTGTGTAGGCTTTCTTAAAAATCTTAATATTATATTGCTCATTTTGAAGTAAATATTTATTAACAAAAATATTTTATTTCGATACAGATGTCCTTATGTGAGGTGCTAGAACCACTTGATTATGAGGAATTCTTAGCACAACACCAATCTGTACTGGACCGTGATCCCTTAAAACCAATATTAGATTTTCCACCAGGAGATGTTGAATTGAGAGTTGTAAAAAGGAAAATTCGAACAGAAGAGCCAGTAATTCCACATGAATCACTGTAAGCAAAATAATCGTAGTGTTATTAGTACAATTAATTATTTAAAATCTAGCTTTTATTTTGTTTGTAATATCTGACTTTCAGAGACACTGTGTCACCTTATGTAAAGAGATGTATTGAGAGTTTTACTTCAGACTGGATGGTAATACATCGTAAATACAAAGGAAGAATCTCGCCAATTGCTAGAGACAGATTGCTTCAGGATACACCTAAACAAGATTTCGAGGTATGCTGGAAGTGAAACTTAATTTATTTATAAATGTTTATAAATAGTATTTAAGAGTGAGAAAGGAATTTATTTGAATTAGGTAGATCAAGAAGATACAAATGGCTGTGGATCACCAAACGAGGAAGACGATTTATCCAATTGCGGAGACACTCCAAGAGGATCTTGGGCAAGTCTGGATTTGCGGCATTCGCAGCATGATCCGCTTTTGCCGAGTTTATTAGATCGTGTCTGTCTCGAGACGATTGATCAGATGAACGAACAAAAGAGATTGGAGGATCGACAGGTAAATAATTGCAACATAGCAAGTTTGTAAACGTTATTTTGATCAAATAATTGTTTTAGGAAGCTTTATTTCCGCTTTATGCCCCTCCGACATCTTCTGACGACGAGTGGCAAGAAATTAGTGTTGCTCCCGAACCTACAGAGCCTTTCGCTCACAAAATTCTCGTAAAATGTTTGCAATTAAAGTTGGAACTGGAAGTAGAGCCAATATTTGCGAGCTTCGCATTGTATGATGCTAGAGAAAAGAAAAAGGTATATATATTTTTATAACTTAATGTCACAGAGTTTTACGAATGTCTGATATTAATATAAATTATTATAAATAATTAAAAATAAATCATTAGGTGTCGGAGATTTTTATGTCGACATGAATTCCGAAGGATTAAAAAGAATGCTTGGAGGACACATCGCTTATAGTGATGCGAGCACTTTAGCTAGAAGCTGCGTTCTGAGTATTAACAAACCTAGTCCCGATTTGTTTCTTGTCGTACGGTTGGAGAAAGTATTGCAGGGTGATATTTCGGAGTGTGCTGAGCCTTATTTACGCGAAGATAAAAATAAAGATAAGGTAATAAAATAAGAATAAAAGTTGACGCATTGAAATCAAACAATTTCCTATTATTGCTGTTTTTTTTTTTATAGGTCAGAGCTGCTGCTGCCGCTGCGTGCGAACGTTTAGGTCGCTACAGAATGCCTCTCGCGTGGACTGCGATTCATTTATCTGGTGTAATTGGAGGCGGTGGCGATGCAGATAGCACTGGCAGTGCTGGTTCCTTAGACAGAAAGTCAGGCAGTTTGGAACAGTGGCGCAAGAAAGTGGAACCGCCAACGAGGCGAGGTTCCTTAGAAAGACGGAGTTCGGACAAAAGACGCAGTTGGTCTCCGGATGATTTTGCCAACTGTCTCGACAGCTTTAGGTTTGTATAATATTTCTACAGCAAGAGAAGGGATATGAATACAGAACAATCTGAATAAAAGCTTGATATCTTTACAGGCCCATTACGTTGACTGTCTCAAGCTTCTTTAAACAAGAAAGCGAACGACTCCGCGACGAAGATCTCTATAAACTTTTGGTCGAATTGCGAAAACCTGGTTCTAATTTGAAACGATTAAAGTGCTTACCAGGAATATTGAAATTGGATCTCAGTCCTAGACCGGAGGAGCTACCTAGGTGTTTGGATCCTGATCTCAGAAGATTAGTTCCGTATCCGGATGAGAAGAGTCGACCAGTTAAAGAGATACTCGAGTTCCCAAGCGAAGTTATTTCACCAGATTTGACTTATCGTAATCTTCTATATCTTTATCCCAAGGTATATATCGAATAAGATTGTTGATAATATATTTTCTGTTAATTGTACGATGTTAGAATTATATTTTATCATTTGTAGGAAGCGAATTTCAGTTCAAGGACTGGTTCAGCTCGTAATATCGCCGTAAGAATTCAGCTTATGGGAGGTGAACAAGAAGCCGATGCACTTACAGCTATCTTCGGCAGATCATCGTGTCCCGAAATGACACATGAGTACTTTACTTCTGTATCATATCACAATAAGAACCCCAACTTTTATGATGAAGTCAAGATGAGATTGCCCGCGGACTTAAGCGCTAAACATCATTTATTGTTCACATTTTATCATATCAGTTGTCAAAAAAAAGCAGAACAACCGAACGTTGAAACAGCAGTTGCTTATACGGTAAATTTCAATCAGTAATTAATAATAAAATTAATGAAGTGAATAATATAATCAATATATTGAATATATAAAAACTGATTATTTGTAGTGGCTACCGCTTTTAAGAGACGGTCATCTTCAATCAGGCGAATTTAGCTTGCCTGCTATGTTGGATCCGCCGCCTGCAAATTATTCCTACATCGCACCTGATGTTCTTCTGCCAGGTACTCGATGGGTGGACGCTCATCGAGGAGTTTTTACTGTCATATTGGAGCCTGTTTCCAGCGTTCATCCACAAGATAAATATATCGATAGGTATAATAATGTATTATATATCTTGCTTTGTTTAAGTGAATTAAAAGATATTTAATATAATAATTTTGTTACAGATTTTTATCGTTATGTGGTTTTTTGGAAACCGGACAAGTTCCGCCTCGCATAGGCGAAGCGGGCATGGAATCGGAATTGAAATCGGCCCTGCTCGAATTAGCGCGTGCCTCGCATTCTGCTTTGGTGCGATCTCTTCCTCAATTACTGGATCAATTGTTGTGTCTTCTCGTGCGACCACCAACCTTGCCTTCTCAGCCGTTGAACGTCGCCGCTACAATTTTCGAGGCTCTAGGTTTACTCGTGCGAAATATCACTAATCTACCGGACGGTCAACTGGATGCACATGGAAGACATGCGCTTTTGGCTACGTACATCGCGTATCAATGTTCTCTGCCAAGTATGTCTAATGGCGGAGGTGTCGCACGAGCGCAGAGTAATCCGATCTGCCTTTGGAAGATTTGGAAATGGAGATTCATTCGCGTGGATTGGACAGAACCGCGTCGATGCGACAGGAATCCCCTTCGATTAACAGTCATCCTACCAGAAGACTTTTGCACGAGGAGCTCGCCTTACACTGGGTCGTGTCTACCGGTCAGGCACGCGAATTGGCGATAATTCATTCTTGGTTTTTCCTAGAGTTGATAGTACGCTCGATGGTCGTTACAATGTCCGAGACGAGTACTTTGGAAGCTCCACGAAAACTGAGATTCTCGCCACAGTTTTGCGACGATGTTGCGACGCTCGCCGCTGCTTTGACATCCGAGGTGACATCACGTTGCGGCAAAGAAATACGCGTGGCATCTAATTTAATATCAAGCCTTGGTAATTTTTTGTCCGATTTATTGTCCGTGATGGACAGGGGATTTGTTCTGTCACTCATTCGCGCCGCTTGTTGCTCATTGTCGGAGCAATCGATGCACATTTCCGATTCAGCGGCGTTGTACGCTTGAAACTCGATCTCGTGAGAACCGTATGCTCGCACGAACACTACGTGGCATTGAATCTTCCTTTCGGCACAGGCTACACTTCCGGTTCCGCTCCGGCGTCACCAAGCCCATCGACCGGTAGTTCAGGCAGTCTGATTTCCACCCTCGTGCCCGGGGATAGAGTTAGATTTTCGGAACTCAGTCAAGAATTCAGACAGCAACACTTTTTGGTCGGCATTATTCTGTCTGATTTCGCGAATACCCTGGAAATTCCAAATCCAATGCTGCAGAATAAAGCTATTGGGAGCATACGGCATCTTATGAGTTGTCACGACGCTGATTCGCGATATTCTGATCCTGCAGCGAAAGCCAGAGTCGCTGCACTTTATCTGCCTTTACTCAATATTTTAATGGACGCTCTACCCCAACTTTATCACTGGGATTCCAAAGATAAAAGTGTTTATCCGGATGAATCCGGATCCATCACGCAGTCGGTAGCTTTGGCCATTGCCGGTGGAGCATCGGCAGACACTGCGGGAAATCAATGTCGCGTGTCCTTGAGCTCGGAGGCTACTCGACATCTATTAATGTGTGTCTTATGGGTACTCAAAGGATTGGAGCGAACCGCGCTAGCGCAATGGTGCTCCGAACTTAGTGCAAGACGTATCTTGAGTTTATTGCAAGTATTGAATATTGCTACCGCCGCTTTTGAATACAAAGGCAAAAAAGCGCTGAAAAGATTGCCACCTCAAGCTGCGGTCACTAGCGACATTAGATCGCGGTTGGAAGACGTGATCCTCGGTCAGGGAAGTGCCAGGAGTGAGATGATGTTGCGAAGGAAGGAAAGAATAACTGGCGACAAGTTGAGATGGCGCAAGGACCAAATGCCTTACAGGTAAATAATTAGTTGTTAGTTCAACTGTAATAATAAAATTATAAAATTACGCATATGATGATTCTTCAAGATCATGCGAACAGCCGGAAGGTAGAGCTGTAGAACAAGATGCTCACATAGAAGGGGCTTTAGCGGCTGAAGCTTCTCTTGTTGTATTAGACACTTTAGAATCTGTAGTTCAAGCTGACGGTGGTGGAGGTATTTATATTTAATAATGTTATATATATTTTTAATCTATATATTTAAATATAAGTTAATTAAATTGTGACTTAAAATTAACTAGGAGCAGTTGTTGGAGCGGTGTTAAAAGTGCTGTTGAGAGCGTTGGCTAGAAATCAAAGTACATCAGTACTTCAGCACATGTTTAATACACAGCGAGCTCTAGTTTTCAAGTATCATAGCGCATTGTTCGACGAGGAAAGCGAACGCTGCGGAGATTTATGCTTAACATTGCTCACTCGATGCAGCTCGCCGTTAAGCGCCGTCAGAAGTCACGCAGCTGCCAGTCTATACTTGCTGATGCGACAAAATTTCGAAATTGGGAATGTAAGCTATCATAGTGATCTCGGTATTAAAAATTACAAAGCGTTATATTTTAAGTCTTTTAATTTTCTAGAATTTTGCACGGGTCAAGATGCAAGTCACAACGTCTTTATCCGCTCTCGTTGGAAGAGGAAGAGCTCCTAGCGAAGGAGCATTACGTAGAGCATTGAAAACAGTGCTGGTGTATGCTGAAAGGGATACGGAGCTTGCAGATACGAGCTTCCCCGAACAAGTCAAGGATCTACTATTCAATCTTCATATGATTCTTTCCGATACTGTTAAAATGAAGGAGTTCCAAGAGGATCCCGAAATGCTGTTAGATTTAATGTATAGGTAAGACGATAATAATCTGACTTCTGTTCAAAAATATAATAAACTGAGGATATATATATATATATATAGTTTATTAAATTGTACATTTATATTTTGTCTAGAATCGCCAAAGGCTATCAAGGATCACCCGATCTTCGACTGACTTGGCTCGCAAACATGGCGCAACAGCACATGGAAAGAAAGAATCACACGGAAGCAGCGATGTGTTTGGTACATAGTGCTGCTCTGGTAGCGGAATATCTTCATCTATTAGAACCTGGTGGCGGCGGTCGGCCTGTAGGAGCCGTCGCTTTGAATGCTGTGACACCAAACGCCTGGAGGAAAGCGCCGTAGGCGATGATTGTTGGCTAGAGAGAAGAAGGACTTTGTTTAGGTCCTGACTTTTCAGAAAGCGGATTGGCAGGATTATTGGAACACGCGGCTAGTTCTTTTCACGCAGCTGGAATGTACGAAGCTATACCTGATGTCTACAGAGTGTTGCTTCCTATAGCCGAAGCTGCACACGACTATAAGAAGTTAGCTAACATTCACGGGTAAGATTCAAATTTCATTATTTCATAATTTATGAAAAAAAAATATTCTTTTAGATTTAAAGTACTTAAATATTTAATTAATAATTTATTAATATTTTAATTAATAATTTAATATTTTTTAAAATATTAATTAAAATGTTTTTTTTTAATTGTGTAGCAAACTTCACGAGGCGTATACGCGGGTGGAACAGTTGGCCGGCAAACGCGTCTTTGGGACGTATTTTAGAGTTGGTTTTTACGGTGTCAGATTCGGTGATCTTGCCGGCGAAGAATTTGTCTACAAAGAACCGACCTTGACAAAACTCCCAGAAATATTTTCACGACTCGAGAACTTTTACGCTGAGAGATTTGGAGCGGACAATATAGTGATAATAAAGGATTCGAATCCTGTGGACCCTAGCAAATTGGAATCGGATAAGGCTTACGTGCAGATCACTTATGTGGAACCGTATTTTGAGGCGCACGAACTCAGACATAGACCTACAGTTTTCCATCGGAATTTTAATATAAGTAAGTGACAATTTAGATAAGCTCTTTTATTATTGCAAATAATTTTTTATTATTCACGATGTTATTTTTAGAACGATTCGTTTATGCGACACCCTTCACTCCTGGTGGCAAGGCGCATGGTGAGCTGCGCGAACAATGCAAACGAAAACAATATTAACGGTGGCAACACATTTCCATATCTGAAACTAGAATTCGAGTCGTAGCTCGGAAGCAGATAGTTCTGAGTCCTATTGAAGTAGCAATCGAAGATATACAAAAAAAACTGCTGAAGTACTTATCTTAATCATTCATATTATTTTGTAATATATTTTACTCTATTATATGTAATATAATGTATATTTTTAGGTGGCTGCAGCAACTGCTCAGGAACCACCCGACGCAAAAATGTTGCAGATGGTTCTTCAAGGTTGCATTGGCACGACTGTCAATCAAGGACCTGCCGAGGTAGCGGTCGTATTTTTATCTGGTTTACGCGAACAGAACGCGCAGCCGAGCAGATTGCAACACAAGCTTCGTCTGTGCTTCAAAGATTTCCAGAAAAAGTGTCTGGATGCTTTACGACGTAATAAGAATCTAATTGGTCCTGATCAGCGGGATTATCAGCGAGAACTCGAGAGAAATTACCAAAGATTGACTGAACGATTGGCACCTCTCATCGCTTGGAGGTAAGAGATCTTTATTAGAGAAAAAATATACCTTCTTTTTTCAATTTTGTGTTAAATCTTTTTTATATTCACTGTAGCGGACCATCTTTAATTAATAATAATCAGCAAACTATACCGGCAACCTCGCCGCGTTGGTAATGAAACCCTGCCCATAAATTACCAAAGACAACTGTATTCAACTATTTATCATGTATGAGATTGTCAATTTATATACGGCTGATTCTACTTATCATATTGTGAGAAATATTCGTTGAATCCTTGCTTTATAACAAAGTTAAAATTATTTAAAATTATTTTTTAAATAAATGTAACAGCTAGAAGATTATATCACACATAAATATATTTCTGAATTATTGAATAAATTAATATTTTTTTGTTGTAAAAAAGGATAGCAGTAAAAAATTGTTTAGAAATTTACAAATATGTTAATATGAAAGACTTAGAAATTAAATGTTTATAAAACAAGGATTAGCGTAATTTATTTATATACAGTTTTATATATTCTTATGAGTATTTAAATATTACGATACGCTGTGACTATCACTTTAAATGAATTTAAATATCGAGTATCAATATTTGGATAAATTGTATTTTTTTTAATGATCGATAAATGTGTATATACTACATAATATTGTTTTGTCGCATATCTGCATAGATTACTTATCGGTTTGTGCAGTTATTTATTATTTAATACATCAAAATGTATAATTTTAATGTTGTAAGAGTAATTACAATTAAATTTATAAATGTGAGAACTTAATATGTTTATCGAGTAAATATTCAAAAAATTAATTAATTAAAAGATTTATTTAAGTTATTGCTATGCATTTTGTAAAACAATTTCATTCTATTTTATTTGTCAATATATATGTATTATATCACGCATATTCATTCATAAATGTAAACCTTGACATTATGCGCGATTATCTTATATTTTATGAAACCGAGTGCCGAGTATTTTTATGAGAATAAAAGTAGCTTTCAACTAGACTAGATTATATAAAATCTGAATTAGGAATATTTTTCTTTAGAATTTTTCGATTGTATTGATTATAAAATTACATATGACACACTCGGTTCATAAGATGTTAACTTATAAAATAGATAGTTTGTGTGATATTATATATTATAAACGAAAAAACCTTTTTCTACAATTTTTAGATTTATAAGATTATAATTATTATATATTTACAGCACTTTGAGCCTTATGTAAGATCACATTTTTGTATCTCACAATATTGGAAATATTGGAAATATATACAAATTTTGTACGTAGTCAACTTATACTTTTAAACGATAAGAAGAATGGAGCAGAGATCTTTATTTAATTTCGATAGAGATAACTTTTCATCACTATTTATACATTCTTCTAAACATTCAGTCTCTGCTTATTTATCATCTTTTTTTATTCATTTTCCTGATTTATAATTTTAGAATAGTTATTGTTTTATTTCATGTCTACATGATTCAATTTTCTGTTTATCGAACATTGATTCTACTTTTCTAGTTCGAAAGAAATCAATCAATTTTTTACAGGAATTTAAATCAAAAATATATCTGAAATTAATTTAATGTATTGTTTCGAATAAATATTAAACTTATTTTATTTTTCAGCGAAATCTGAATTGATTTTAATCTTTGGTTTCTTCTCTTCTCATTATGTGTTCCCGGAAAAATCCACCTTACTTAAAAAAACTGATATTATCAGCTTCAAAACGCGATATCATTCGGAAGCACTTAAATTCACATGCATCGAGCGGAAATAATAATGATACAGACGTAAACGGAGAAACGGTGAATACCTCGGCTCGACGTGAAGAAAGAGACGGAATAAAATGTCGTAACGGAGGCGAGAGGGTTCCATATTGGAGGTCTCAGATAAAAGGTTTACCTTTGAACTCGGGATGAGACTTCTCGAGGATTTTCTCGAGGAAAACTTTGATCGCGTTAAGAGATTTCCTTCAGGGTACCAGCGAGACCGCGTTGCGGAAAATTCTTCGAAGTATTCTCTCGCGATGCGGAATAGAGCGAAGGAGGAGAGAGAGAAAGGGAGAGGTCGATGGCGCAAGGCAGGACAAAAAGTATTATTCGAAATTCCGTCTCTCGTTTTTCCGCGGCATTCGCGTGGCTTCACGTGTGCGATGGCTGGAAATTTCTTTCGTCCTTGTTTATTTTGTCTACGGTCCATTTAACTCTCAAACGCACCAACCATTTTCTCTCTCCCCGCCTCTCTGATTCCCGGTCCATTTTACGCTCACACTCCTGTTGCGTGTCACTCCTGTCTTTTCGCTTCTTATACTATTTTGTTTGCTAGTCTATTTTTCCGCATCAAAAGTCGCTGTGTTTGTTCGTGTTAATCATCATTATACTTCTCATTCATCATTCCTTTCTTTATCATATGTGTGCAGTAGATTTGTCTCTAAATTATCTGTTATTTGTGTGAAAAATTGCTGTTTTTACATGAAAGAATATTAAATATAATATATATTATCTTATTAATCATATACGTTTATATATGTAACAAATTTATTTTAAATTAGTTTAAATTAAATATAACAAGAAAATATTAAAATATTATAAATAATAAATTTAAAAATATCAAGAAAAGATTAAGAAAGATTTTAATATACACATATTTATATTAATGATCAATATTATAAAAAGAATATATATATATATATATATATATATATATATATATAACCTATATTTAAACTTTTCTCAAAAATATTAAATAGAAGTATGAACATTTTACATAAAAACTTGTATAGAAGTCATAAATTATATATTTATATTTATTTCTTTCAATCTATTCTCTAGCTATTTTACGACATCTGAAAAAGGTTGTATTAGAAAAGATTCATATCTTTATCATCTAAACATTCCATTATATATTTTTTATATTTCATATAAAATTGTAGCGTTGTTTCTTTATTTCGAAAATCGCGGGTTAAATATATGAAGTATTCAAATCGGACCAATAGCGTGCGCTTACAAGACGCCCATATTAGTTTCGCGCCGTCGGATCGGATGGACGTGGTGTGAAGCCGCTCCGGTTTTTCGCATTTTTTATCCGGTAAAAGTACATCGCGTGTGCAAAAATGTGTCGGGAGTGTCGCGGAAGCTGCCGGGTGATCGTGTATAGCGATTAATCGTCATGCGCGATCGAAATTCGCTGCGTTTTCCGACATTCGTATTCAAGTGAGAGCCCTCGAATTGAAGT